GTAGCACCTCTGGTTTATCTTAAAGCCCTATAGAGAAAGCAAAGCCTCTACAACTGAGGAAATGCTGGTCAAAGGAGCCACGTGTGTTTGATTGGCTACCAGTGGGGTGCTGAGACCTATAGAAAGTGTGAGACATTTTGTGGTCTGCAGTGGATCCCTCTGCTCTCAGCAGTATCTGATGGTTTTTCAGGGTAACATACGAGTGTGATCACCCTCGCCCAGAGAAAGGTGCCAGCCTAGGATAAATGGGAACAACAGAGAGGGACAGACCATCTCCCCTCACTCTGCACTAAGCCACAGGCAATCCTGCTGCCTTGCAGGACTCACTCTGCTCTCCCTGAGGGCAGCAGAAATGCTGAGGGGTTCTGACATCCAAGAACACTCTGTAGCTGAGATGGGGGGAGTTGTAAGAAACCCCAAGATTCTCAAACTGCCTTCTGCCATCCCTCTTCTTTAGCACTGGGAGTGAAGATGCTCACAAGGCCTTCTGTGTTAGGACCAGTTTAATCTGACAAAGTTGAACATCGGATCCATGAACACAGTTCTGCAGGGCTGGGCTGACTCCTCAGCAGGCAGCAGGCCAAGACCCTACTCATCACAGCACACTCATCCCCTACCAACCAGGGCCATAGCTCTGGATTTGAGGAAGGTCTGCAAAAGAAATAGGAGATATGTGAAAATGGAGAAATATGTGTGAGAAATAGCTTAAATTTTTCACATAGATATCTGCCCTAATTTATCACCGTCTTTTCCTCCTTGGACAGTGACTCATGTCCACAGACAATGTCCAACAGCAGCTCCATCACTGAATTCCTCCTCCTGGCATTCACAGACACACGGGAGCTGCAGCTCTTGCACTTCTGGCTCTTCCTGGGCATCTACCTGGCTGCCCTCGTGGGCAACGGCCTCATCATCACTGCCATAGCCTGCGACCACTGCCTCCACACCCCCATGTACTTCTTCCTCCTCAACCTCTCCCTTCTCGACCTTGGATGCATATCCACAACTCTCCCCAAATCCATGGCCAACTCCCTCTGGGACACTAGAAGCATCTCCTATCTGGAATGTGCTGCACAGGTTTTTTGCTTTCTCTTCTTCATGTCTGCTGAGTATGCTCTCCTCACTGTCATGGCCTATGACCGCTACCTTGCCATCTGCAAACCCCTGCACTATGGGACCCTCCTGGGCAGCAGAGCTTGTGTCCATATGACAGCAGCTGCCTGGGGCAGTGGCTTTCTCAATGCTCTGCTGCACACTGCTGATACCTTTTCACTACCCCTCTGCAACGGCAATGCTTTGTCCCAGTTCTTTTGTGAAGTCCCCCAAATTCTCAAGCTCTCCTGCTCACATGCCTATCTCAGGGAAATTTGGCTTACTGTGGTTACTGTCTGCTTAGATTTGGGGTATTTTGTTTTGATTGTGGTGTCCTATGTGCAGATCTTCAGTGCTGTGCTGAGGATCCCCTCTGAGCAGGGACGGCACAAAGCCTTTTCCATGTGCCTCCCTCACCTGGCCATAGTCTTCCTCTTTGTCAGCACTGCTACGGTTGTCTACCTGAAGCCCCCCTCATTCTCCTCCCATATCCCAGATCTGGTGATGGCAGTTCTGTACTCAGTGGTGCCTCCAGCAGTGAATCCCATCATCTACAGCATGAGGAACCAGAACCTCAAAGACGCACTGAAGAAGCTGATTTTTTTAACTGTCTCTAAGCAACATTAAGCTGTCCCTGTGTCTTCAGTGATTTCCAATTAATCTTGGGAAACTCCTTTTCTTAGGGCATTTTTCTGTGATGTTCCTCTTCGTTCAGGAATTTCTACATCCACTGCACCTCCCCAGAGGTGTGACCTGCAAATCTCTACACATGTCTGTGGCACAATGATACTGCTGGCCTCCTGTGTCACTTCTCTTTAATAAAATGGATTTCCTCACTGCCCAAGTCTGGATGTTGGGCTCCTCTTCCAGTTCTGTCGTCAAGAGCACGCCGAAGATACAGCCCCTAGGAGCATGCTGCTGCACTTGCATTCTCCATGGGCTCACGGCTGTAGGGCATGTGATGATGTTTTAGGGAATGGTCCTTGACTCTACGTTCACACCTGAGTGCCAGGTGCCCAGTCGAGATGGTGAATCATCCACAAGAATCTGCCTGGGATTGCCATTCCGTGGCTTTTGGGCACCACAGCCTTCCCACTCTGCAGAGCAGCATCACCAGCTTAGGGACCTGCAGGGAGCACAGGGAAGGGTCAGGAGTAGCCACTAACACTAGCACGTACACGGTCCCTTGGGGAAAGGATCTCTAGGGTCAGGGACACCTTTAGAGAAGAGCAAACAAGCAACTCTCCGCTTCCATGGGGGAATAAATGACCAAAAGAAACCTATTCCTGCCCACACCAGCTCAGGGTCATCAGCAGGATGCTTTTTCACTGGGGCAGCAGGAGCATCCTGGGGAGTCCCTGCACCAGGAGTCTTGTGCTGGGGAGAGGGGCTGGCTCAGAGGGGCTGCCAGCAGTCAGCACTAAGGATCTCTTGGAGAAAGGGGCAGGGGACACAGGGACCACTCCATCTCCTCATGCCATGGCTGGCCCCAGGCCTGGGTCTGACAGAGAGGTTGAGCCTCGCCTCTACCCCCAGGAGCTGCTGTGCCCAAGAAGTGCTGGGGCTGTGGTGGGAGTGCCCAGTGCTCTGCAGCTCCCATCAATGGGCACTGCTGTGGGGCCAGTCCAGAAAGGGCTGCTTTGCTGGGCCGGTCAGGGAAGGTGGGGGGTGGGCCTGGGGTGGTGTGAAGAGTCGGTGAGGGTCTGGGCTGTGCTTTAAAGTGCTCAGGAGAGGAACACATGACTGTTTAGTTGAGCTATCTGAACATGCAGGGTGAGCACTGACTCTCATCTCCCACATGTCCTGTCTGACAGCTGCCAGTCCCAGACAAACACCTCAGGTACACTGGGGCCTCTGAAAGTGACCCTGGGTGTTTTATGGTAAAAGAAGTAAGGTCTGCCATGAAAGCTGAACACATTTGTACTTTAAAAACAAACAAACAAACATACACACACCTTTTCTTCAGCTAAAGGAATTGAGTACTTTTACTATAATCACAGTGTTTTCCCACCTTACTTGAAAAGGAATTTCCAGGAAGTACATCAATCATAGGAGAAGAAATATCGGTCTTCTGTATTTGCATTATGACTGCTCTGTCTAGTATATTATGCGGCGTATTGAATCTCCCTTATCTCTCAGGTGTTTCTACCTCTCCTTACTAAATGTCCATGCCCATACATTTCAGCAGATGTATCTGGACATTTGCCCTTCCCACTGTTTTCCAGATTTCCCCCTCACCGTCCTCTCTTTTCATTCCAATACCTCCCAACTATCTGGTTGCTACTTAGAGCTTCAGGGAGTTACAAACTTGTCCCGTCACTCTGAAGTCAAATTAACTCTTTAATCATCATTTTAAGTGTGTTTATATCTATTCCTTCCTATCTCTCTGCCTAAACCAGTTCTTGTACAGGTATCGTCATTGGCCATCTCCACCACAGGATGTCCTACACTGTCCCACTCCTGTGCCTGTTTCCCTGCAGGCTGGAGACTATCCACTTCCCCACCTTGCTCTCATCCTCCCGTGTCCTTTTGTGTACTGACGTGTTGCTTTGAAACACAAAGCCACGGGCTGATCCTAGACAGCAACCAACACTCCCTCTCCCCGCTGACCTGTTGCATCACAGCACTACCCTTCAAGTGGCATTTCATTTTCCCTCATGCCCAGTCTCAATCTCCAAAGCTTTCCCTTTCTTGTTCTGTTTCCTCTGGAAAGAAAAGCTTCATCCTCTCTGAAATGATCATTTAAGCAGGTGCAGGCTACTATGGCATTGCCCTGAGCCTCCACGTCACAAGGCCAAAGCAGACCAGGTCTCTCAGGCTCTTGCAATAGGTTGTGTTATTCGGCCATTAAACCCTTCTTGGAAGGCATCCTCTGGACCTTCTCCAGTTCCTCCTCACTTCTGCAGAACATGGAGCCCCACACCAGGATGCATTGTTCAACATGTGAACACAGCAGTGCTCAGTCAAGGACGGAGGTGACTCCCCTTGTCTGGGTGGCCACATTCCTCTTAACTACAGCCACATAGGCAGCTGAGCTTATTCATGGTCAGCATGCTCCACTGGCTCCTTTAGGATCTCCTGTAGTGACCGAGCCCTTCTCCTCAGGGTCACTCCTCAGCCAATCAGCACCAAGTTTGCCCTGATTCATGGCGTTATTCTGCCCTGATGCAGGACTTGCCACTTCTCCTTGTAAAACTCGGTGATGTTTCTACTGGCCGAATCCTGGAGTTTCTCAGGGTCCCCATGAACTGAAGCTTCACTGTGTCGGCTAGTAATGTGTGTTTGTAAGTGACTCACCCTGTCCTGTGGTCCCTCTAACAAGATGATCGCATGAAGAATTGCAAGACATAACAAATAATAAAGGCAGTCACTAATTTAGTGGATTTGCTGACCAAACTAAGAATTCCCAATGAAACTATATTAGTGAAAACAAAAGAGGTCACCGGGTAAGCAAAGTCATGCCCAGTGGGCAAAGGGAAAACAAAGGTGGGCTTCTTCTGCGAGAGGATTTGAGGAGGACCAATGGGAAAATCTTGGGAGCAGGGAATCATGGAATAGGAAAGGCAGAGGTAAAGCAAGGGCTACAGTCAGGGTTGTTTGTGGGCACCTGTCAAGTAGCCCTCAATTGCAGTGGGGACATCAGCGTAGCTGAGCACACCTCTGTTGTGCCTATAAAGGAATGCACACAGCTTGGGGCACAAACAGGAGGAATTAGGAGTCTGTGGGCAGTTCTTGAGCTGTAAACTCTCTTAGATATGAAAGACATGGTCAGATAGCTCACAACACAGGAGTGTAGCCATGGATGGTTGCGGCGTGTTTAGGAAGGATGGGGCAGGTCAGTAAGGAGGGGAAGTTTCCCTCTGTGTGGGTGAGCAGTAGGAAAGCATGGAGCTCTGCTTGTGACAGCTGAAGAGCCAGATGAGAGCTGATGGACCAGGAATACTGAGGAGACTAATGAGGGTAAAGTTGTAGTCGGCATCTGCTATGGACACTCCATAGAAGGAAGAAGTCTAATGAGGTCTTCTTCAGACAAGCAGAAGTCTCTTTTCGCAAGGACCTGGTCTTTGTTGGGGACATTACTCAGACTGACATTTGCCTGAGGGCCAGAAAAGCAGGGCGAAAGACACACGGGTTTCTGGAGGACAGCAAGAAACTCCCGAGCATTCAGAGAGGATTTTAGGAAAACCAAAGCCCATCTCAAGTTCCATCTAGTAATTCAATCTGGATGTGAATGGCATCAAGAAAGGATTCAACAATGACATCAGCAGCAAAAGGAAGGCATGGGAAAAACTGGGCAGGGATAGGACAGGGAACCTGGTAACAGAGGACACAGAAAAGGCCAAGGTATTCCACGTCTTTCTCCTTTCTGAGTTTACCCATAACCTTCAGGAATTGCAGGCCCAATGACCAGAGCCAGGGAGCACAGTAGACTTACCCTTGGTGCAGGAGTCTCAGGTTAGGGAACATTTCAGCAAACTGCACGTGCCTCAGTCCCTGGGATCCCTTGAGGGGATGCATCCGTGAGTGCTGAGGGAGATGGCTGATGTCATTGTAAGGCCACTTGAAATCATGTTTGAAAGGTCATGGTAATGGGGCGAGGTTCCTGAGGACTGGAAGAAAGCAAATGTAAAACCCATCTTGAAGCAGGGTAAGAAGGAAGATCCAGGGAGCTGTAAACCGGTCTCCCATTTTATCCCTACAAAGTAGCTGATCAAACATGGACAAGGTAAGTGGAAGATGAGGTGGACTGAAAATTGCTGAACGACTGGTCCCAGAGGTCTTTGTCCAGCTGGAGGACAGTCATCAGTGCTTGAAACTGGCTCCCATTCTATTAAAGATTTCATTAGAGTCCAGAAGGACGGTACCAAAGAAGAGAGAGTTTGTGAATGATAGAAAAATAGGAGTGGCTGATACACCAGCTGGTTGCAGTGCTGCTCAGAAGGAACTGGGAAGGCTGGAGAACTGGGCAGAGAGGAACCTCATGAAGTTCAACAAAGGCAAACCCAAAGTCCTGCCCATGGTCAGGAATAACCCCACAGACCAGTACAGGTTGGGGGCTGACTGGCTGGAAAGCAGGTTCCTAGGGAAGGACCAGAGGTCCTGGGGGACAGCAAGCTGACCATGAGCCAGCAGTGTGGCTGTGTGCCAAAGCAGACCTACGCCTCTTGGGCTGCATTCAGGAGAGTTTTGTCAGCAGGTCAAGAAGGGCGATCCTTCCCCTCTAGTCAGCACTGGTGAAGCCGCCTCTGGAGTGCTGTCTCCAGGGCTGGGCTGCCCAGTTCACAAGACACCTGGACTGACTGAAGTGAGTCCAGCAAAGGGCCACAAACATTACAAAGTCACACAGGCACGTTGTAGAAGGACAGGCTGAAGGAGCTGTGACTGTTTAGCCTGGAGAAGAGAAGGCTCACTGGGAACTTCTTCATAGTTATCAATACCCGAAGGGAGGGAATGAAGAAGAGGAAGCCTGACTTTTCTCTGTGGTGCCCAGTGGCAGACAATGGGTCAAAACTGAAGCACAGGAACTTAAATGTAAACATGAGAAAATATTTCTCTACTGTGAGGATGGTTGATCAGTGGAACAGGTTGTCCATAGAACTTGTGTTATCTCCATCTGTGGAGGCGTT